AGGTGACTGAAAGCAGAACTGATACAATCTTCAAACCATTTGCAGTCCTTCCATATAAATAAGCAGGTGAAGACTGGGGGAGTTTATCCACTTTCAGACCCTGTGATTTCTGTATGTCATTTTGCCAGAACCAAACTAATTTCTGAAACAGCTGCCTTGATAGCTGGTGACTTGTAACGTGTTAGTTCTTGGGAAGTGTCACCCAACACTACGGCAGGCGCTTTAGGGATCCTCAGTGGAGCAGTGACACAACAAAGTTGTTTTTGCAATCAAAACTTTATTTTAACCCAGACCCTCTGCAGATCGGGTCCTCTTACAAAGCTAACACCCAAACCTCTCTGCAGATCAGGTCGTTCACTAAGCCCTCTGCAGCTTGGCTGCAGAGGCAGCGCCCCCCCCTCTCGGGTGTCCCTGTTCTTCTGGATTGGCCTGGGCACCTGGCACCCCTTTGCAAGGAGCAGTGGGGACGTGGCCAGCTGGCCACAGGCCATGTTCACCTCCTCCAGAAGATGGCGCCCCGGGGGCGGGAGCAGGAGCACCGGTCCCGGTGAAATTACTGTGGAGTAGCTAAAATGCACTTTGCCTTTCTGGGCTTGACTAAGTAGGTAAGCTACTGTATCTTACAAGTATTGGAAGTCTGTCTGTGACATTATTTGGCTGTTAAAATAATTTTCTGTTACCATTTCTGCTAAAGTTTCATTCGAACTTTAAGGGGAGTGAGTGAAATGTGTAGTGCTTAGAAACCTAAGGATGCAATAATATTGTAATGTACGTGAGCCTGCGAGAGTGGCAGTGCAGGGCCTGTGTGCTCCTGCGGGCTCTGCTGGTGACCAGTGCAAAATACTTGAAGGTAAGGGGGCTTTTGAGGCTGAGGTAGTGCTTGCATGTTTCCATTTAACAGTTCTTGGTGGTCTTTTCTGTCAGTTTGCGCAATTTTTTTTGAGCCAATCCCTGCTTTTGGTCTCTAACATCCTGGGGCAGTAAGTGTAGGGTATTACAATGTAATATAGGGTTTAGTATGCTAGGGAGTGAAACCAGCTTGGTCCAGCTTGAGGAATTAATTTATTTATTCCCATCAAATAATAGCTGAGCTCCATTTACTCTGTTTTACATTGCAAATGCTTAAGTGAACTTTGTGTCCTACTATTTTCTAAAGTGCTTTCAGTGCTATGGTCCTACACAATCTCAAATCTCTTCTTCCTTAGTAACAGCATGTTTCTTCAAAGTTTTCACAGCAAAAGTGGGATTGAGAAAGCAAAACTTTTGGTGGGCAACAGTTGTGGAACTTCTTGAATCATGATGGGCTTCCATAATAACATGAACATGAAGAGCTGTTTTAGAAACAAACAAAAAACACCATAGGTGCTGGAGAAAATTGCTGTGGGCCATTGAGGTCTGGCTCTAAGGCAGCCTTTTTGGCTCTATGGAGTTGTGGGGCATAGTGACAGCTTGGTGATGAATGCAGTGTGAACATCTGGGTAGTTTCCCTGCAATGCAGGAATAAGGTACAAAGAGAGTTGGCTTTGTTACTAGAATTAATCTTGCCTATATGCTTAAACAAACTGTATATTGTAAGAGCTATTTGTGTGGCCATGGAAAGGAAACAGGCTCCATACAGAAAAGGAGAGCAAGTTTTCTACCTAATTATTTAAGGGGGTTTGTGTGTTTCTGAAATATGCATTGGTAAATATGAGCTGACACATCTCTAGCATCCAAATTATAAATGAGTGGAAGACCTGAAAATGTCAGTTTCTTCCTTAGAAGCACTTCAGGATTTTTCTTTTCATTTTTCTTTTCTTTTCCCTCTTGTACATTCATTTCTTCCCTTAGGCAAATGAGTTCCTTTAAATGTTTGTCTCTTTGTTTCAGTATACTACTTATCATAGGATGTATTTTTTGGCATGTCTTGGAAGTGTCAGAGGAGGTTTGGTGTACTAATATTTTTACACAGAGAGTGCATATGCATACCTTAAAATAGCGGGAAGAGTAGTAAAATCAATTCTTTAAACTTGTTTCTGTGTATATCTTGATGTTGCCTAACCAGTTGTGTGCATTATGGTCTTTTTCAGGATTAGCTAAGAAAACTTTAAGATAATCCTAAGGAGTTCAGAAAAAGTGAAATAAATGAACACCTTAAGATGAAGATACCTTGTACAATGCTTATTAGACAAAGTGTTTGTCATTGCATGGCACGAGAACTATGCCACGTCAGGTAGCGGGGCAGGAAAAGTGCTTGAACTGCCGCTGTTCCCTCCTCTCCTCTTGGAGAGGGCTCTGGGGTATCAGGTGTCCTGTTGGTTGAGAATGGCAAGTCTTCTAATTTGTTTAGAATCATTGGGAATTAATAATTTTGTTTGTTTGTTTTCCTAGAGCTGTACCATAGTTAACTGTTTTCCTGGAACTGTAGCACAATTTCCACCCAGCCACATGTATTCGAGTCACTTGTTTTGATGAAGCTGTGTGTGCATGATTTGATTGTTTTGTATTGACAAGGACCAAAAGGGAAGAGCCTTGTGAAAGGCCAGGTTAGCTGAGGCAACAAAGTATTTTTCTGGTGTTTTTTATCATTTTCATGTTAACATTAATGTGCTGGTTGGACAGCAGAATTTGCAGTCTGTTGTTGCTTAATCTGGACCTTACTGTGCACCTGAAGTTGTGGAAGAGTCAGTGGCTGAGGGACAGTTTTCAGAAATGATGTATCTGGTATAAACTTGCAGGGGAGAATGGGAGGAGATGGTAGCAACATGTCTACGTGTACCCAACTGGACCAAGAAACCGGCATCCTTACAGAGGCATAGGTTGGGTGATTAGGGAAACTCCACGCCCTCTCGCTGTGCTGGATGTATCTTATCCTTGGAATGTAATTATTATGTACTCATAAATAAAACGTGTATCTGCTCGCTCAGTACAGCTTCTGTGGTTGTGTTACCTCTGTGCAGTGTGTCAGTCAGTAGCACCTCAGTTTTTTAAAATAACACCACCTTCCACCCCCAAGAATTAAATGCCGTTCTGTGTTTTTAAGCATGTTCAACCCTAAATGTTTTGGAACAATGTAAAATCCTCACTAATGGTAGCATGCTAACTCAGAAAAGCATGTCAGCACAGGGCAGTGCTGAAGCATATACTTAAGTCATATTGAAGTCAATGTGTTTAAACACAAAGGTACTGCTTTCGTGAATCCGTATGTTTATTGTTAGCTGTTCTGAAATAAGATGGTTATTTGTGTAGTCCCAATGAAGGATAAGTTTTACTTTTAAAAAACAAAAAAAGTGAAGTTTGGGAATATTTAAATATACAAACTGTATTATCTTTTCTTTTCATAGCTGATTGCTGTTTATGATGAGCAAGAAACCCACCGTAAGACTGATGGCACCAATGGCAATTTGACAGACAGAAATAGCCCAGACTCTTTTGAGACGGAAGTAGCGGCTCAGCTAGCTGCCTTTCAGCCGATTGGTGGTGAGATTGAAGTGACTCCTTCTGCCCTGAAACTGGGTATGTATATCTTGCATGGTTATTTTTTTTTTTTTTGACCAATACATAGTACTTTCTTATTTCTTTTTTCTTTTCTGAGTATGTCTATAATCCAATTTTATATATTTAAAGAATTTTTTAGCACTCCATTGTTTGCCTTGCAATTCAATGGCAACAATTGTAATGAAAAAAGTTCAGCATCTGAACTGATGCTGAAGACTGCAACTGAGCATGGCAAATTTGCACCTGAGTCTTGTATCCTGCTGTATGTTATGCCCATCCATACAGCTGGGGTCTCTTCTGTTCTCCTTTCCTTGACTGGGTAGGTTGCTGACAGTTCTTCATTGTAATCTTCCGAGAGTGGAAGAGATGAAACCTATGCAAAGTATTTTCAAAGTCATTGGAAAAAAAAACCTCAGCATTTTTATTGAGGAACCTGGGTTCAATGAGTGTAAAACTGCTGTGTGCAAATACTGTTACTGATTATCTGTGCTACTGTCCTGTTTTGGAGGTAGGAGGCAGAAAGGAGATGCTGGTTGCAAACAGTTCAGCTCTTTGCCTTTGAAGAAGTTGCACAGCAGAGTCTATTTGCCTATCTGACTTTCAGGTGAGCAAACTGTGATTAGGGGAGACTTCTACTTAATTCCCTCTTATATCAGAGGGTACTGCAACTCTGGTCCCTGTGTTACGATGTGCCCAACAGGCCAAGAGTTCAGACACTGGGTTCCAATTATAAAGAGCTATAGTCTGGTACATTAAACACAAAGCAGTTTGAAATACTTCCTTGGACTGAGAGCAGGCTAAGCTGTCACCTAGATAGTAGATACAGCAGCTTTCAAAAACAGATTGAAGGTGAATCCTCTTACTCTCTGCCTGTAAAGCAGTCATGGGCTGACAGCATTTAGCAAATGAGTAAAGTTCAGGATAGGCGTCTCTGCGTTCTGCCAGAGCTCATCATCCAGTTCACCCTGTATTCTTGAGTACTGCTGATAGTCTCCTAACAGTGTGCAGTAAAATTTCTGGGTGTAATAAGGTGGGGTAAGGATAGAAATCCTACCTCTAGTTATGTACTCTCTTGGAGTAGTCTGATTATGACTTCAGAAATTGAATGTTCACTTGGCTGTTTATTTTAATTGCATTTTTAAAGGAAACAGCTGATTAAGAAAAACAAGCTAAAGTAAAATTTTTAATAAAGCTCACTGGATGAAGCTGTGTAACTTAACTTCTAATGGAAGTCTATATGCCTTTTTGTGCCTGATGCAGAAAATACTGAAATTCAAGCTGCATGAAAATTTTCAGATTCAGATTTCTGTGTTAACAGATCACTTCTATTCTACATTCTAGAATATAGAAAAATCTCTTTCTGTATTTAATGACACAGAGGAATTTCTAATACCTAAAAATCTTTGGAAAAGACTTATTCTTGCCGTAACTTTTATGTATTTGAGCTGTGGTTTTGCTAAGCACAAGGTATGGAAAAGTTTGTGGCTAACGGTCCAATGGTTGAATGCTTTGCCACTTCATTTATTGCATATTTTTAAATAACACTGTAAACACATTTTAGCATGTTCCAGAAAGTAGAGGTTGTTTGTCTAGCATACTGTTGTATGTAAGTTGAGGGTTGGAGAGAAGAGTATTTCAAGCTCACACAATTTTGTGTAGAACAGTTAAATGCTAGAGCTCTTGAGTTTACCAGTAAGCTACCAGGTAGTTCAGTTTTCATAGTATTTATGGAATCCTTCTACTATCAAGTGTAAAGGAGATGAAATATAACAGGAGAAGAGCAGCCAATTAGGGTCCTATTTTGTTTGCAATGCACTACTAGTATATATTTGAAGTTTAAATGAGTGCTTTCTTCTTAAAATAGAGAACATAAATATAATGTGTTTGTCTCAACAGTTCTCTTTCAGACTGTTTTATTTTACATGGTAAATGAAAGACTTTCTACCTGTCAGTCCTATAAACTCAGTCTGCACTCTGAAATTTAATTGTTTTCTCTTCTGGATTTTAAATCACAGATTACAGTTCTTTAGACTTAATATTTGCCTTTCTGTTTCCTTCACAAGTCCCAGGACCTTAAATTATGTCCTTATTTCTACTAGAGGCAAATTGAAAAGTAAATGAAGAAATAGAAGAACCATTTGGTTACATCAATTGCATTGATGCATGAACCACAGTAGTCCGGCTCCCTGTCTAGTTATTGAATTGACTCACACTTGCTAGCAGAAATAAATAATAATAAGTTTAAAAAGGTGTTCTTACTTTGGGAGCAAGGATGTGATTAAATATGTATGTAGTGAGCAAGTGTTGTTTTCCATGGTAGAGCTGTGTTTCAAGGACTGTCATGTGCTTACCTTTTAGAGTATTTTTGCAGACTGCCTTTAGGGATGAAACGCAGGGAATCCGTTGTTAAATAAATTGTCAGATTGTGGAACAATTTCACCTGTTAATTTCTGTTAGATGTTTTGTATTCTATGAAAGCAGATCCACAGTTTCATGCAGGAACAGTGTCCATTTAGTGACCTGCTCAGGGAATACTTAGAGCCTGATGCTTAATAAGTACGTGTAGCTAAACGCTGTTGTTCTCAAACTTGAGAGAATCAGCACTGATTTTAGAAAAGGCACTTGAGATACTGCCTTCAAATTTTTTCTTTTTTATAAATTGTGTATTTGATCCAGTTAAGGTAATCTTAGGCTGTACATAGTCTTAAAGACTTTACTGGCTGGGTAGAGATGGTGATGATGGGGGAAATGTGGGGTTTTTTTTTTTATTATATGTTTACTTCTTTAGGGTTTTTTGTGGTTGATACTCTTTACAATACACATCAGCTTGACTCTGTCTGAAATGATAGTTTTTCCATTATGTAGTTAGTTACCTTTGTTTTGCCCTTTGTCACCTGTAACTTTGCAAGTGAGCCAGAATAAAGGCAATCTTATATTTGACTTGAAAGCTAAGTGCCTTATATCTTACATTGCTTCCACATACTGGCAGAATTTTAGGCCAAAAAAGTAAGCTTGTTATTCTACTTATTATCAAATTACTTTCTTAATACTTGGCACATATTTTCTTAAAACAGTACAGGGAATTATTCAGCTCTTTGTTTTCTCTTCCCCGAAATTAATGCATCTCTACTTTTAAAGCTAAACTTAGTGTTCTCAAACAGGTGAAATTGTGGGCTCTTGTGTTTAAGAAAAATGCAGGAAGGCTTTAAATGTTTAAGAAGGCAGTAACTGCTGTGTCCATAACATAAGGTGAGATGCAAACATACTTGAGCACCTCCTTGCTTCCCCTGCAGAGGTGGATTATCAGGAGTTGCTGCTGACAGCATCTGAATTGGGACTGCAAAGCAAGCAATACCTGATAGTTTCTTACAGCTGAAAAGGCTTTACTGAAGTTTCTGATTCTGGGGGCTGAAATTACTGAAGAAAGCGTGGTCATTCAGTTCTGTTAGGTACGTAGGTCTCAATTCGGTAGTGGGTTTTGCATCCTGGTGTTTTCCTGTTAAGCATGATTACCAAAATGGTGACACGGTTAAATAATTGTTTCTCCACAGTTTACTTTTTCTGTATTGAGGAGATGTAATACCTACCTATTGAAACCTGCCTTCATCCATTTGGATGTCAATGAAAACCTGCTGATGATGTCACGTGTACTTTTGCACACCCAGTGACTATAGTTTTTTGAGAAGTACCAGTGCTGTCTTAATTCTTGTTTGGATGGGTTGGACAAGTAACGCTGCATCCCTGTAGAAAACTGAAGAGGGGGAAGGGGCATCGCTTATTCAGTTTGCATTCGATGTAGATCTTCCAAGTATCTTGCCTTTTTTGGTTTAGTGAGCAGAAGAGTACTGAAATATATTTTGCAGAGGGGCCTTGGGTTTAGTTACACCTCCAGTTCCCTTTCTAGTTTTCATCCATAATTCAAGTTTAGTGCAAAAAAAAAAAAACAAGGCTGGCAGGAATTTGTTAATTGTACTCAGTTTCTCCTATCAAAATCAAAAATAACTTTTAGTACTGAAAATCTTGATTTACATGTTTCAGTTGACAACGAAATAAATATAGATCTGTTGTAAAAAAAAAAAAATCTCCGTTTGACAGAAAATGTGATTGGGTAAAGAATACATTTTGTGCTACAATACAAATGGTAATAAAGCAGCTGTTATTACATATTACAATATTTAGAGAAGCACACAGTAATTTAATGTGTCCAATCAGCTCTTTGAAACAGTGAAGAAATTGCCTACTGATTTTAGTATTCTGTGGGTAAGCAGAGAACATTGAGACACTGTTGCTGAACTGGCAGCAGAGAGAGCTTGTCTTGTGAGGCTGTTTCTTAAGAGCAGAACTTCCCAGTGTACACTCATGATGTGGACACTACAACAATTTGCAAAGAATGATAGCAGCAACTAAATGCCTAAATAGCTGATTTACATTTGAAAAATTGAATGGAGGTAAACTTCAACATTGCTGACCCCAAATGCTGTCGTAATTTCTTCATTGCCATTTTTTAACCGTGTTCTGTAGGCATAAAACTGTGGATAGACAAAACCTTACAACGAATGGTGAAGTCAGTATGTTGAATACTTTTTAGCTGCATGTCTTTAGCCCACGGTAAATGTGAGGTAACCTACACCCCAGTGAGAGTTTATTTTAAAATTCTGTGTCAGAGGTGGCCTTCTGGCTGTCTTGACTCCTCAGCTCTTCTCCTACCTGGCATAAAGGCTTTTGTATGTTAAGCATTGTTTTTGAACTTGTGTACCCTCAGAAGACTAAACTTAGCTGTTTCATTGGAGCCAGACTGCGACTGACAATTAGTTGTTTTCCCATTGTTTCCACAAGACCTAGATGCTCTCTGGGATTAGATATCATCTCTTAAAATGTTTCATTTCTGGTCTGTAGTGTTCTTGCACCTCCTTTGATCTGAGCTTACATAATCAGACAAAAATATTTTGAATGGATAAATTGTGATGCCATAGCAGTTCTTTAAAATTGGTATATCCAAGTCATTTAAGAAACACTTA